GTGTGTGTGTGTGTGTGTGTGTGTGTGTGTGTGTGTGTGTGTGTGTGTGTGTACATGCTTGTTTTTTGTTTTGTTTGTTTTGTCCAAGGGCGTAATCACCATCTTAAAAGTGGGGGGGTCACATTTTTTAAAGGTCTTTCTTTTCTGCTCCGGCTGAAAAAAGTTGGGGGGACAGCGGGCACAGATATTGGAAGTGGGGGGGACATGTCCCACCCGGTGCCTATGGCGGTTACGCCCATGGTTTTGTCTATATGTAAGAAACTGACTATAGTGTCCGGCCATTTTTGCCCCATTGTGATAAGAAAAGGTGTTTCCTCTTCTGCCAGCACGACTCCTCCGGGTCCATTGTGTGGAAGCAGTGGTGATTTATTGTTGGAAAGTCTATGATTGGAATTTGTTGCCTGGCTGGAGGAGCTACTGGTTTGAATGACTGGAGAAAATGGTGACGTAAATGGTGTAGAGGTGCCGTCTGCAGCAGGATACTGCAAACTGGGGGATGTGTGTGTATGTGTGCGCGTTTGGAGGGTTTAATAAAAAAACTGGGTTAGTTGTGGATCCCCCCTGCTGTTTCCATTGGATTGGGACTAATGCCACTGTTTGTTTATCCTGTCATCTCAACATCCTGTGGGGTAAACGGGGCATTCCTGGTGTCTCCGCCCACAAAAAAACACTCTGCTGGCGTGATGACAGGATCGCCACTGAGTCCAGAAACAATGCAGGACAAGCTAATCATTATTGTGACGAGTGATGCAATGAGGGACGTCACTCGTGTCCACAGTGACTGATTGGCACAAACGGGCACAACTGATGGAGGAAAACAAGGCGTTTGGTCACAGTAGAAGTTCTGCATGTTGTGAATGTTTGCGTTGATTCTCACTCCGTCTTTTGTCTTTCATTTGCAGCTGAAAAGGTGTCGTCGCTGGGAAAAGACTGGCACAAACTGTGTCTCAAATGTGACCGCTGTAACAAGCTGCTGAACGCAGGAGGCCATGCTGAGGTCAGTAACTACTGATACAAAGGAGCAGCTCAGACTCCACTAGATCTACGAGTGATCCTTAAAGAGAGAAAAGGCCTCTCATTCACAGTCAGAAATTATATTTTTATAAGGATGCACCAACACTAGAATCAGATACTGGTCAGATGCTGTGTGTGTGTGTGTGTGTGTGCTGATGCCACATTATTGGTACCACTTCCCAGATGAGCAGTCAGGTGACACCAGGGGTCTTTACCGTTTAATTTTTTTTTTCACATTTATTGTTTATTGTTTAAATATAAAAAAATCACCAAAACCAGTCCATCTGAACAACTACAGGAAAAAAAATAGAGAAATAAAATAACACAATCTTTACATTCCTGTCACTGTCAAAAAGACAAGGCATAGACTGAAAAAAGTGTAGGTAGAATCCTAAGCTTTTTATACGTAGTATATTTCTGTAACAAAACATTTTATACATTATTTTAAATTTAGTTAATGAAGAACACAGTTTTAACTCTTCGCAACAATTATTTCAAACACAAATCCCTCTAACAGAGGTACAGTTATTTTTAATATTTATCCTAACCTTTGTTTTTCTAAATAAACCTTTCTTTCTGAATTCATAATTTGTTTCTTTAATTTCGAACCATTTCTGTATCCAATGTGGAAGGACTTTAGTATATGCTTTGTACATTGTCAATGCTGTTCTAAGTTCTACTAAATCATAAAATTTTAAAGTATGCAATATGATAAATATGTCATTTGTTGGATGATAATAATCTAATACATTTATAATTTGTATAGCTTTCTTCTGAAGCATATAAATARGTTTTGTATTGATTTTATAGGAATTTCCCCAAATTTCCACACAGTAAGTCATGTATTGAAGTACTAAACAACAATATAACATGTAAAATGTTTTTAAATTTAGAAAATGTTTTATTTTATTTTATATTGCAATAGTTTTTGACATTTTAGCTTTTACATTTTCAATATGAGCTTTCCAATGCAATTTGTAATCAAGTGTCAGTCTAGAATCCCCCAAACTGGTGGACTGACAGATCAAGGGACCCCCTATAAATAAATATCTAGTGTATATGCTGACATTAGTTGTTGACTGTTATCATTAAGGGCTGCAGAAACGACAGCACTGATAGGCTCCCAGCCAATTTCACAGAGTGAACATGACCTGAACATGACCTGTCCAGTCTCATTCTGTGCAGATGGAGAGTCAGGATGTGAGTGAAGCTGGTGTGCTCACAGAATGTGTTCATTTCTGACTGAAATACAGTATTTTATGCCTCCATGTATCATTTTTACATGTTGGATTCATGGTAGTGTGTTTAAAGACTTAACTTTGGAAAAAAAAACAAAAGTATTAGAATTTGTTTCTAATGTTCACGACTCCCCCTGTAGTACAGACCTCATGGTCTTCACTGTTCTGAGAGGAGAAAAACTGATCCGATTGTGTGTGTGGCCAAAACTGACTTAGTGGTTATCAGTCTGTCATTACAGATCATTTAAAATAAGAAAAGCTGCCTAATGATTAGCAGCTGCTAACATGGCCTGAGAGGAAAACATTGGGCCGCATGCAAAAACCATTTGTATGCACAGATTTGTTCTTAAGTTGTGCGTACGAGTGATTTAGGAGAATTTGTGGCATTCACCAATGTTTTCGTATTCTAAGATTTTTTTCAGATACGAACAAAATTTACGAGTGGTCCAGACCTGTCGTATATTTTACGAGCAGTCAGTCTGCTGTTTTCCAGACTGATTTTCTTCACTAATAACTTTATATTTCGTTAGTTTGAAGATATTTTGAGTTGAAAATAAATTACACTCCATAATTATGTTGACAATAGGCTATTCTGCTTGAATTAGAGTAATAATTTTAAATGTAATAATTTAGACTAACAATATAAATTGTCCGTCCGTCTGTTTTGGTGCGCAGCGCTGTGTCTTCTGAATAAATGAAAATGATTTAACACAGTTGTTTATACTTTTAGCAGCTCTTTTTATTCCACAGCTGACCTGCTAAAAATGACAGATTTTCTTTTCTGGATCTCTGACAGACGGACTTCTATGGAGGACCAAACCTATCATTATTGGAAATAAATGTATAAATATATAACTGGCGTATTAAAATAAATTATAGGGTCAAAAAGAAGTTTAACAAATAAATTATTGTGCCATTAAATCAATTACATCAATTATTTAGATATAAATGTGTATTTACATTTTAATTTTGAAGGATTATATTTTCTCTATGTGCTTTATCGCATATTTTTTGTTTATGTTTATTCATTACAAGTACATTTGTTGTAATTTGACTTTTCCAAGCCATTATTTTCTTCTTTCACATTTATCACCAATCACATATATTTAAAACATGCTTTTTCACCTAATAATATTTTATTTCTCAAATTATTTTATCGTTCTTTTTTTTCTTAAACACTGATATATTTTCTTCTATTATATTCCTTTGTTGTATATTTTTACCAAACACATTTCCCTGAGCCCATTTATTTTCATCTCTTTTTTTTACATTTCTTGCTGGCTGTATTGTCTTTTCCAGCTCCACATGCAGCAGGGAATGTAAAAACAGAGGAGGCGGTCTTAAGAAAAGCGTCACCGCCCCAGTTCTCGCCTATTGGCCGAGGTCTAGTTTAAAAAAAGTGCAGAGTCATTGGAAGATCCGGATCAAAGGTCTCTGACCTTTAGTTCTGTTGTTTCTCTGCAGTTCATTGATTGTTAATGTGAAACCTGACAACAGGAAGCCTCCACTGCTCTCAGTTTTTTTGGATTCAATGGCAGAATCGTACGGTTCTCAAAAAGCTTGAACTTTTTGAACCTCAGATGTTTACTTTTGTTTGAACTCTTATCACTGAAAATCTTGTGACATTGTTTTTTTGTCTTTGGGTTAATTTCTTTCACGATCCTCAGTTTGTGTAAGATACTGCTGAGGATGTGCTTTCCTTTTCCTGGCTTTTTTGTGTGTTTTTCTTGCTCCATCTGTCAATATGTTGTGTTCTCATGGGATTTCTAGCCCCTTTAGCCCTGCAGGATGAGCTGTTTTCAGATCCTTCCTCTTCATCTTACATAATCAGACTGCAGTATTACATGTCAGTGTAGAGTCCCCTGACTGCGCTGTGCTCACTGTCCAGCACTCTCCTCCTGGGGGGGGGGGGGGGGGCTCTTTTATCTTTTCCTTTTGGCTTCACCATTCATGACCCAGCCAGTTTTCATCCTCTCTGTGCATGCATGAATATTGCACACGCATCAACTCAAGTGTCCGGCTCCTGTCTCTTAACATGTGATCCCAGCCTCTTTTGTGCTCAAAAGCAATTTTCCCTGCAGACCCCAGAGGATGCTGGTCTGCTGTTTAATCTCTGCATGATTACAGTAATGTAGTCTCACTCTCTCCACCCGCTTTCCTCCCCCTTTTCATGGACGGCATCCAAATCCTGCCCCGGGCTGCAGCTCTACGCCACAAAACTGACTTCAACAGGAAATAAATCTAAGCTTGATTATCGCCATGGCAACTGAATAATGGGGGGGGGGGGGGCGAAGGAGATGCAACGCTGGATATTCTGAGAAAGTTTGTTGTCATCCCAGGCCTTGAAGGTTGTGAACTTCAAACCAGTGCTTGAAGTTCTCAGGAACAGGATCCAGCCCAGCCTGGCCTGGTGTCTGTGGGCTAAAGGAGGGCAGCAGCTCCCTGAGGCTGCTGGATCTGAGACACATTTAACGAGACAAATTGATAAGACTCAACTGTCAACCTTAAACCACCGTGCTTTTATTGAACACATCAACACAACTCAGACTTTTTCAGTAAACCCGTGAAAAACACTGGCTGTTTTTCCACCAAACACATCGTAGATATGCAGTTTTAAAGTAATGAGTAAGGACAAATACCAAACTTCAGTTCATTGTTTTACCCTGAAATCACCCTGAGATGGACTTTTGACCTGTTCAGGATGGGAATGGGTCCAGAACACCCCCCCCCCACACACACACACACACACAAAAAATGTATGTGGTAATTTTGTGAAGAGTTCAGTCAAACCAACTTCTTAAGCCAGTTAAAGGAGTTTATAACCAAGGAGGCGTAATTTTAACACCTTTTAAAAGGGCAATATTGTGTTTCTCAGGCATATATTTACATACTATACCATTAAAAAGTATCTATGTCACCTTTAGTTGTTATTAAAATGCTG